CGGGCGGCGGGGTGCGCGCAACGCAGGCACGTCCGGGCGAAAGGAACTCCCCCAGCCCGGGGTTAGAGAAGCAATTCCTGTTGCTCGCACACGCCCCGCCTCCGCCGCCTGCGCTCAGCTGCGCCCCCCCCCCCCGGTGAGGGCAGCGGCGTCCGCGCACAGCGGGGGAGGGGGCGCTGCGCGGGAGAGATCGGGCAAGTATGGAGGGGAGGGGGCTGGAAGGAAACGGGAGCAGCATGGGAAGCCCTGGAGCTGGAGAGACGAGGAGGGCGAAGCTGTGGGTGCAGTTCTGACCCCCCCCCCCGCACGATCGCGCGCCCTACGCAGTTCTGCAAGGCTCGCCGAATCCCATGGGCCTAAATCCCAATCAGCCTGAAGCGGACTTTGGGGGGGGGGCGGTTTGCGCAATCCAGGCTCAGGCCCCCAAGCAGAACAGCCGCGCTTTGAAAGCGGGCCTCATGGCCCAACCTTGTTATTTTCCGAATCATTTCAAGTCGAGCCTCTTTCCTCTTCGTTTCACCCACTGCTCTTGGAGGAAGTTCCACCCAAATGCTAAACAGGTTGATGTTTTTTCGGGGTGGAGGAGTTTTTCACAGCCACCCTCTCCCATTTTATTTATTTAGATAGCTTATATTCTGCCCCCTTTGCATAAGCCTCGGGGCGGCTTACAGTCATTAAAATCCCACATATAAATACAAAAACAAAAACATAGAACAAATAAAATACATAAAATAGTGGAAACAGCCTGGTCAGTTTAAAATCAATAAATAAACCTTAACAGTTAAAATAGCATTTAAATAAAAAGGTCTTGGCCTGGCACCGAAAAGCAAATAACGACGGCGCCAGGCGGACCTCTCTGGGGAGCGCATTCCACAGATGGGGCGCCACTGCAGAGAAGGCCCTCCTCCCGGTACTCACCCTCCTAATGTCCTTCACGGAGGGCTCCCGGAGAAGGGCCTCTGCCGCCGATCTCAAGGGGCGGGAGGGCACGTATGGACGTAAGCGCTCCTTCAGGTAACCAGGACCCAAGCCGTTCAGGGCTTTGTAGGTGATAACCAGCACCTTGAATTGGGCCCAGACTTCAATCGGGAGCCAGTGGAGCTGACGGAGAACTGGAGTCATGTGAACATAACGCCCAGTCCCCGTCAGCAGCCTGGCAGCTCTATTCTGCACCAATTGAAGTATCCGGACCGTCTTCAAGGGTAGCCCCACGTAGAGCACATTGCAGAAATCTAAACAGGAAGTTACCAGCGCGTGTGTCACTGTTGCCAGGCTGTGATTAGTTCTTGGAGACCACGTGGAAATCTTGTGATGTGGTCCTTATTAAAGATGGCTGGTTGATTTGCAGGTTTATGTCTCTTTTGGTGAGGAAAACCTCAAATTAAAAACTCAAATCTGTGCGCAAGGAATCAAATCCAGCAACTTGTCTCCGAGCTTTCTTTCAGCAAAGTATTTCAAAGCAGCAATACATAACTGGTGCTCTCCCCTCTATGTGCTCTTAGCAGGCTGAGAATCCCTGCACTGCATCTGCTCTTGATAGGAGAAGGCAGGGAAGGGGGGGATGGTGTCCTGGTGGGTCAGCAGAGCCCCTCCTTGGGGAATGCGATTGGTGCGTCATTCTGAACAGGAAGAAGTCGGGGATGCACATGTGGTGTGTAACCGTACATGGGGCCCGGGCTGACCGCAAAATCCACCTCTTGGTGGCCACATCCAGGGTTCACGGTGGCCATTGGTGGAGGGAAACTCCATCGCTACTAACAGCAAACTCACTGTGGATCGAAAACAGGACAACTAAGAAACAGGAAGGTCTGCAGAAGTACAAATGAAGCTGTGAAACTCCCAAGCACACAAGGAAACCGCTCAGTGGCTGGCTGGAGCCCCGAAGGAGATGGCTCCTCTTGGGAAGGAGACGATTGGGTGACTTTTCTCCCTGGCCTCCCTGTTATGTTACGTGTGGGCGGTGTTTTAACCTGATTGGGAACGGACTCCACTCCCTGAAGGGATCAAGTTTGTCCCTTGGGATGGGAAGCGTGGCTCCGAGGAGAGCAAGCCCGCAACGGTGGGAAGACCGCACTGGGACATTGCTGTTGTGGGCAGGAATTCCGCTAGAGGGGGGATTCCTAAAAAATCCCAAAGTCCAGGCTGGCGAGAGCAGAAAAGGGTTGCAGGTTGCATCTTTCCTAACAGGGACGGGGCAGCAAAAAGCTCCCTGTAGGGATTATCCTTTGATTTGTACCCAGTATGGCTATGGAGAAAATGGTTGTTGAGGCAGTTAGCAATCGTGCTTATGCTTGATTGAAACAATAGCACAAAAATTAGGCACAGTTGAAAACATCCACGAACAGAACAAAAGCGGCACCCAACCCGGCAGACCTGTTCATACATGCCAAAGTTCTGCTTGAATAAAAATGTATTTTCCTGCCAGCAAAGGAAGAGCAGAGAGGGACCCAGTCTGACCTCTCCCAGCAGGAATCTCTGTAGTCTGGGGGCAGCCACAGAGAAGACCCTCTCTTTGCATCAGCAGCAAGCATGCTGTCGACGCTCTGAAAGAAGGGGCTCCTCTGGAGATGGAGATCAGGGCGGTGTGGGAGGAGGTGGCCTTTCAGCTAGGTTGAAAGCAGGTGGAACAACATACGGATTGGGGACGGAGATCACATCCGGGGGGCCGTGGGGAGGGTGCTGCACTGGAGATGAGAAAATCTGGGTCCTAGACCCCCCCTCAGCCATGAAATTCACTGGGTGATTTTGGGTTAGTCACTCTCATTCTAGGCTACCTTGCAGGGGTGCTGTGAGGACAAAGACTCTGTGCTCACAGAAAACCCAGTGTGCCGCTGTGGTGAAAAGGGGGAATCGTGTGCTGGGGTAGTGGGAGAAAGAGGTGAATGAACATAGCAGTGCCAGTGTCTTAATGCCATTTTGTAAATCTAGTGCAAACTGAGCTGGGTATCCTCATGTCCAAACCCCCTAATGCGGAGGTTGCAGCGTGGTGTTTTGGGGGGCCAGTGCTCCCACTTTTGATACCCACCTCCTCTTGATTATATCATTTCTTAAGATAGTTTGAATTGGGATATTGCAAAGAAAATGCTGCCTTCCAGGGCCATCTTTATTTGTGTTCCAAAAGCGGCTTTATGAGTTGGAGGTCAGGTCCCCGCCTCTGCCTTGCATTTACCTGTGTGAGCAGGTGACCAGTCAGGTAGAGTCACCTGCTTGCCTTCTGGCCATGAGCAACACGACCACCATGGCCGCCCTTTTATGCATGGCCAGGTCTTCCCATCCCTCCTACGGCAGCTGCGCAGTGAGACGCTCGTGATTCTGGGCAGGCCAAATTCTAGATGTGGCCACTGATGCAAAAAGGCTGGGGACCCTTCCTCCAGTGACCTCTCCCAGTGCTTTCTCTGAGATGCTGAAAAGTTTGGGGATAAGGTGGTACGTAGGTGAGCCAGTGCATGCAGTGGAACAAGGGGTATTTACGGCCGCCAGATTAAGAGGTCTCCGAAAGGGACTTCGGCTACTAGTCTTGCTGGTTATATTCCACTTTAGTTAGCTTCAGCCTGATCTTGCAGGTCTTCCTAATGTTCTTACATCCTTCAGATTCTCTTTCAGCTTCTCATCACACTGTTCAACCACCTGGAAACCTACACTCTTTTCTTGACATCCTTTGGATCTCAACCAACCCAAACATCTCCAAGAAAGGGAACTCAGTAACACTCCCCACCCAAAGCTGCAAGATTTTCCAAAGCAGGATGAGATGTTTATGGGGAGATAATTTGCAGAGCTAATGCTGGATTACTGTATCTGACCCAAGATCCTTTATCTCTGCCATTGGAAAGGATCTTGTCAAATGTGACAAGCTGCAAGCACATGCATATGTAATAAAAGCCCGAAGGGTTTGCCTTTAATGTGATAAGTGGAGGGCTGGAGGGAGGAGGAGATTTGGAGTGGGAAAGTGAGAGGAATATTTAACCTGCTCCCACACACCAGTTCCCCCCACCCCCAACCGGTTTTTGCAAATGGATTCAAACATTCATACAGAATCCTGGAAGCAAAACTAACATTTTTGCTTGGCAGTTTCCCAGTGCAGAACCTCTGGCGGGACGTGGAACAGGGCCCTCCATCAAAGCCCATGGCACAGCGGAGCACTGAGCTTCCTTCAGCCTGGGGCGGGGGGCACATTTGTGGGGAGGCGGCAGGAGAGGCAAAAAGCAGGTGCAGCCAAAGGAAGGGTTAGATCCAGGATAGCACCAATGCCAGCATGTTCTAGTCTGAAGCCCTCACCAGGAAGAGCGGAACCTTCAGGGAGTAAATCAGCCTCTCCGGATGAGGGAAAACTGGAGAAGAGCCAGGAGACCATCAACCGATCAGAGGTCGCAGGGAAGAGGACCAGGGGACGGGACTGTGGCCTTTCAGGGAGCCCCACGAGGCTGGATCGGGGCCCTTTGCCCAAGGCAGCAGCCTAGCAGAGACCCTGAGCAAGCTGCTAGGGCAGGGCCAGAGCTGGGCAGCGGCCTTCGTCCCGTGCAGGTTCAGGAGATGCGTGGGAAGCACTGCGGCTGGCGGGTGGTGCTCCAGGGTCTGAACTGGGCCCGAGAGCTAGTGGAGATGGAGCAGCATGACGTGCAACGGGCAGCCCGTCCCGGTTAAGAACTGGGCGGCTGCGTCTCTGACCTGGTGTTGCTTCTGAGCGTTCCTGAAAGGCAAGCCCAGGTAGAAATTGCTGAGGAGCTTTCCATAATGGCGTCAGGCTGGCCTTCCTGCTGAGAACTGGCACCTGCTCGGAGGAAGCCCT